GTCGCGTGATTCACGAGTTGCTGTACTATCAAACACATAAAAGTACTGTTTAATGCACTGTAGTTTTCGGCTTCACAAGTTTTGAAATGGTTTATCGGAAGCTGTTTTAGTCAGTAAAACCTGTAGGTTGAGTAGAGTTACTTACAAAGTTGTAACATTCCACTTCTAACTCGATAAAGAAACCCATCGTAGAAACACCATCTGTCTAAACTTCTACTCAAAGATAAACGAAAGAATGTTGGGTGCTGCCTATCCGAAAACACTGCTTTCAACTATCGGCTCCGAAGTTAGTTGATCTAATCAGCCAGAAATAGCAGACATTGAACCCAGGGTCACTGGGAACTCAGTTTAAAGCTCTACTCATCAGGCCATCGTGTCAAGACGCGCAATGCGCATTACAGCAGTGAATGCGTGAACGGTAGATCATTTTGGATCACTCGTTGACTGGATGAGATCTAAACAGTTTGCAACTGGTTATTTTGAGCGATCAACACAGTATTTTTCAGTGCTACTAATTATTTTCTGCATCACGGTGTTGTTTCTTTACAGGTCAGTCTGTGTTGCCCAACGGACCTTATGTATCGGGCTGACGATGTGCTACTGTGAGCACGACATTGAACATTTATATCGGTAACGCTTTCCTTCCTCTTCTACGGGATACGTCGATCTAGTTGTATTGGAGCGCCGAGCAAATAGTTGGCCCCATCCAAATTCAGCACGTTACAAACGAATAAATTAGAACTGATGCACCCAGCTTTGATGTGTTCAGTCTACTCTTTAAAATGTTCTCGAAACTATTACATGGGTCTATACTTATGGTCCCTCAAAGAATCTGTCTGAGCACGTCGCTGTTTAACATCTGACTTTTGTGAACACTGTCATCTTCCGACAGTAAACACGGGTTTTCTGTTTATTTTTAAGGATTATTCAAATAGGGATCGGATAATAATTTTGTAATGGAAACAGAGCCAAATCTGATTCGGTGCATTCCGGAGCATGATGGATGATGTATTTCTGCAAGGATGGTGTTATAGGTGATAATCATGCATCAAAATGCCGATCTGACCTTTTCGCTACACCAGTTATACATTTCGTTCATAAAGCAACGCATGCGATCCATCGTTTTTTACATAGCCATCTTATGCATTGTACACATTAGTGTATCAACAAATGTAATTATTTGAGTGAATAGGTGACCGCACGCTTCAGAGCAGACTAGGGAAAACGCTTGGTTTGTCCAAACTATCATTTGTTGATCAGTGTTAATCGATCAAAAAGAAGGGAGATGTACTTTTCAATAATTTTCGGAGTGAATTTAAAAGTTTGTAAGCCGATGAAATCCGAGCATTGATTGCCCAGAAAAACGCTTTTACTGTAAAGCAACTGTTGTACCAGACGCGCCATTTATCGTGGCGCCTAGCTAGCACACTCAGACCAAATCACTTGTTCGTCGGAACATTAGTTGTTTCGTATTTCATAACATATTTCCAAATGGTACCACCTTACATTGACGAGGAATATCATTTTCGGTTGATGCACCATATGGATTTTGAGTTTATCACTTTACCTGTGTTGTTGCTTGCTACAACCTTTAGCTCAGGTCACTCACCCTTGGTTCATCCCCACATTGTGGGTCAAAACTTCCATTATCGTTAATTCGTCAGTCGCTTTATTTGTCATATGTTTGTGTTCCGTCTCTTGAGAAATCTTTGAAGCTGTAATTGCATGATTATTTCCCAGGTTACACCCCTGGTCCTGGTGCTATACTAGCGGATGCGGGCCGTAGATTGGCGCCGTTGGTACAGTGCTTACTAATCTTGCACTTGATTTGATCATCTAATGGGTAAACATAGTTAAGGTTCATCTACTTTGTATTATGACATTCTTCTAAAAAATAAATTAGTCCAAACTTGTCCTGAGCAACGAGCTGACCCAGGAATTCTGCGTATTACTCAAGGCAAGGAGACGATTCGTATTTCTCAATATTTGTCGTTTACATATAGGTATTCTGATTTAGGTACTATGCATCAAATACCCTGGTGGGAGTGATTGCACAGGACACACTATTGCATCCGACATTCTTAATATGACAGGGAGGAGATTCTCTATTATCAGCAGGCCGGTGCATCGTAAAGTCAATACTGAGTGGTTTCATATTTATCCTTCGTAGTTTTCTTCCTCTAGTTGTAGAAAGATTTGTACTTAAGTCAGAAATCGTTGTTAATCCAACCGCGCAGAAGTGCTGTAAAATGTTGCGATACCGATGGGGAAAACACGGGTTGCGACAAGCAACATTACATGAAGTCATGTTTTCGGGAGCAGGTATATGAAAGACTCACCCCGTTTTAATTCAGCTGTCAATTTGGCAATTACTAGAAAGAAAAGATGAGTGTGTAGGTAAACACAAACAGACAATACTTTAACCTTAAAAAATACATCTTTTCAGGAAGAAGATTTACAACATTACAACGGCTGACTCACGTTCATTTAACTGTTTTTGATCTGATGACGTGCGAAGAAAATCAGGGGAATGTGTGCTGGAGATTATTTCACTTGCAAGTTTCAAACAGGAATAAAGATGGCGAGTACTGCGCATAAGGGCAACATAATGTCCCCAATTGAATCGAATTGGCTGTTTATTTAAATGGTTATGATCTACCCTTCATGGACTATAGTTCATTTATTTTCTACCAAAAGCTCGTCACATATCTGACACTCTTTATCGTTCACATGTGGAAACAGCTAACAGTTAAAAGGAGGGTCTTAGGAGATATTTCCGTACATTTTCGCAATTCCTTGCTTAACTTCTCGTACTTCTGCCACTGAATGGTTACCTTTAGACCGCTGGTCTTTGTATAATGCGCTATGGGAACACCGGTCTGAGAGTATCTAGGCACGTGCCTTTTCAATCATATTATGTCCCATTAATATTCATACTTTTTATAGCTTTCCTAGGTCATCCTTTGCATAATACCAACCAACGTATCAAATATTTGTGTCCATATTCTCTACCTCCGATATCAAAGAAAGTATAAAACTGCTATTACCACAACGACCCACCTCACTTTTATAGCAAATAAATCTTATATTTTCATGTTGCGCCTAAATAAGTAGCCCGGAATCCGGGCCAGAACCCAATGAACAAGCACTTGGAGCGATAGGGCGACTGCAAAACCTTAAGTTTTGTCACTAATAGGTGTCAGATTGGCGAAATGAATATCAGGTCACTTGGTCCGCGTACGTGAGGAAGCCGAAGTCTGACAGACAAAGTGGAAAGCGATCAGTTGTTACTTGAAATTAGGACTGCCTTACAAGAATCTGCAAATCAAGCCGCCGTGCCCAAAAGGTTATGTCGCGCAGCTTAGAAACGAAAAGTCTGCAACAGAAATGCCCATCTTCGCGTACAGAAAACCCTCTCATCCATCCTACCAGCAAAATGTAGTCTCGATAAGTGTTAATAAGCTGGGTTAGAACGAGACAATCACAGCGTAGCACAAATCAATTCGAATGTGTGCTGATTCTGTGAACAGGAGGATATATATTTATCTGCACACATTGCTCCACTTAGAAGTTTAAATAGGTCTTTCCTAGGTCTTTCGTAAGTGTGGTCCGGGTCACGTTTCTTGAAAGTTAAGCTCTATTTTTAAACCAATTTGGGATAATTCTGATTTGCTTATAATTATAAGTAGCAACAAATTCACAGCCGAAGACATTCTGTTTGGCTAGCTCACAATGCTGAAACCTTATACCGAAACCGAGTAGATTCGAGAATTTCCGCCTCTAGGTTAGCGGAATTAAAAATTCAAGTTGACGACGCATTGCATCATTGCACTGCTTGAGTTAACACACTTAATTTGAATACAGGAAGTAGTAACCGAACTATGTGTTCACTAAACCTTTGCGGCATGTTAGCCGTTACGCATTTTTCTTGATACATTCATATATTATCACTCTTTACCTACAGAAACTGTTAAGCGTATTGCTTGTCTTCCTATGAGAATTCCATCCTTCCTTTGTTCGATTGTAAGATTAATCCCTTGTGTTAGTAATCGAAAGAGGAATATGTTTGAAAGAGAGTTTTGCGTATCAGTCAGTGCTTTTATGACTGGCATTTGAATGCGGAATTAATTTTTAAATTCTAATTTGTAAACAGCTTAAATGATAAAATATTCCATGTCATAGGTAGGCCAATTTTTTTGATCCAATGCAAAACCATGTGCTCCTTCTGAGTCCCATGATTACAAGTACTGACTTTCCGTCTGATTACTTGTTCAGTATGCCGCCAAAATAGTGCTTTGTCTTATGCCCACTGTTTCTCAACTTAAATAATTCTGTTGGGGATCAAAAACAAGTGTTCGCTGCCGAATAAGTTGGGGTCAGACAACCCCGTAAATAAGTTCCATAGAAATAGCTTACTAAATTGCGATTTTAAGTAAGAGTACAACAATAAATGTTTAAGTTATTCTCATGCCATGCCATCCGGATCTGGTAACGCTAGACGAGAACACAAAGGAACTTATGCTGAGAAGCACAATATTTTTTCTATCGATGTAAAATGCTTCATTTATTGGAATCGTATTTAATAGCACAAAAAGCTTGAATCAATTTACCTCAATGGCATTGCTATACCAATTGATCCGCGTCCATTACAGGAAATCAACCCACAATGCATAACTGTTTATCACATGTAAGCAAGTAGGCTAACGAATTACCTGCCACAGAGTAAACTCACAATATTATCGCCACTGTAGTTGCATATTACTGTCGTGCTACTATGCGGGAATTTCAGACTAAATGGTTGACAGAGGTGCACACGGAATGCGCTAGGCAAATTCGCAGTCAGAGCTTATATACAACTTTCTGAATAATGGCATAATTATTACTCACCTAGACGCAGTCCATTTATAACATAGCTAACCACTGTAACAATACATGAAAAGTGGTGGGTTAATTAAAGCATTGTTGGTTGAATGAATGCAAACCTTTAAAATTTAGGAAGATCAGCAGTGGAATATTTTTAAGGACTTACATTCGCCCGCTTCTCCAGATTCTGCGAAACATAGATGAAAAGCGAAAAGCAACTGATAAAAAGGGCTAGGATTTTGAGAGTTAACCAGGTTTTTTTTAGTAATTATATGGTCATTTACGCATGCCAAAAGTTTTGCCTTGTTGTGTCCTCTAGATGAATCTCTGCAAAGTTTATAGAATCTAGAATCTAGTATAGAATCTAGAATAGAATCTAGTAAATCCGTTAAAACCGAACGCCAATTACAACGTCGTTCCATATCTTGCCAAACTGATATTACTTCTTAACGGAAAGTCTTGGCGTCTGTTATTTACCCGTTTTTATAGAATGTCAGGTTATGAGTAAATCTGAAACTCGAGGACCACTTACTTATCGCAGACTATGTTATGCCTTAAGCAACCAACCGAATCTCACACACTGGAGGCGACAGAATCGGTTTACTGTGAACTCACATATTTTAATAATCTCATCAATGGAAAACATTCTTTTAGAGCGGCCACTACCTTAAGCAGCTTTATAACTAAATGTGAATTACTCACGAATAGCAGGATTTTAGTTGTATTTCTGATAAGTCTTTCATCCCAGTAGTTCACAAGCTACATAGCAGAGCCTAGTCCGGAAAAGCGCCCGACGCGTTTCGCCCTATTGGGGCTCGTCAGTAGCGCGCATTCCCTCGGTCCTCTAAGGAGGATCGAACCCATGACCGCTAGAGGCAGATGCCAACTAGCCAGCAGCTTAAGCCACTGAGCCATGGAGGACGTTAGCTGGACTACATAATTTGCAAACTAACTGGGATATAGCACCACCTACCTTCCACTGTCTCTGCTATTGTTTAGCCTGCTAGGTTATGACTTCCTCTGGCTAGACGCTATATCCATGGCATTTGAAACTAGGAGCTGCTATTTTTATTTTATATTACTCACGAGTAGCAGGATTTTAGTTGTATTTCTGATAAAGCTTTCAACAAATGAGAATTGCCGAGTATTTTTCGTCATAATCTTCACAGAAGAGCATCGTCAAGAAAACGGTGGTAAATTGAGCAGATGTCACGACAACATTCTTATCCCAGTCTTCTGAATCCTAACATAGATTCTAAGTTTGCCAATAGAGATCGCGTGTCGCAATCCAACCACAGGGCTGGTACAACAAATCCAACTAAGTTCCACACTTTGGTTATCATACAAGTGAAATAGTTTTATACAAACACATGTTTCTTATCCACTGCGACTTTAATACAGTGAAGTAATAGACTATGGTGATAAAGCTTCTGTTCAGTCTCAGCAAATAATTGTTGTCAGCCTGCAGGGATCTATGCTGCTACCAGTTGCTCCATAAATCACCAAACAATTTTTGAGTGTCATAGAATAGCAAGAGAGCACTGTATTTTTGCGGACCTACTTTTCGCATTTTACCAAATTGTGTTTATGCCAACATTGTTTGCAACTGGTTTGCGGATAATATGATATAATATAATAATATAATATCTGTATATAATATAATATAATTGATGCCGTGACTTTTGCCATACACGTTTAGTGGGTACACGTTGGCTTTATGCAAAAGAAAATTTTGGAATCATCTATCGTAAACCTAACGTAAGAAACCTGCTTAACCCCGGTTGTTTGGTAAGCATTTGTTAAAGCTTAATATATGATTTTTATGTGATGAAATTGTGAGTAATGGTTCAGATGGAGATGAAATTGAGGCGAAGGGAAATCCCAAGCAATAAGCGCTTGTTCGGAAGAGACCTCAGTATCCGAATGCCCATGTCGATAGCGAATGACTGATGGAATTCTAAGCCAAAAGCATTTGAACAATGATAAACGGTAGTGTTTGGATGATGTATGAGCACAATCACACTGAAGTGTAGTCGGCACAAACCCAACAAAATGATTCAAAATTTTGCCTTCACATTCTCTAAGTGTTACGCGCACCAGCTACTGTGTAGTACTTGTAGTATCCGCTTGAAGTCGGCCAATTTGTTCTGGAATCGTGAAAGCGTGAATAGCAGTGTAGGATAGGTCGTCTTAAATCCCACTCATCACGCAAGTTGTGATGGTCTGTCCCGTTCCTATGGTTCGGTGGCATAATCTGCTTGTTGGTTGTCGTAAGCTGCTAGAGGTCACGGGTCCGGTTCACTGAAACAGACTGATGCAATGCATACCACTGACGAGCACCACATGAGGTGAAACGGCGTCTAGTTTTTTGAGGAGTAATGGCTAAACTCAATGGCTTGTGAGCTGCTATGACGAATAAGTAAAAGTGTATTAAATTCCACTTAATCAGCAATAATAATCAATTTGTTTGACTTGACTTGGTCCATCGGATTTGAGCTTTGGTGCAAACAACAGCGTATTCAGAGGTATAAAAATATTAAATTAGCGGTTTTACGGATATCAAATGGTAAATATGCTAAGCATGTTACATGCGCATACAGCCTAGGGGAGGCCGTTTAATTTGGGTAAAATGTATAGACTGTAGCATTTATGAGTGATTGCAAGCATTGCTTACCGATGTTCATTCCAAATATCACCGTGCTGAGTACTGTGATGAAAAGTTTAAGCATTGCTTGAACATAAGCTTGTGGTGTTTATATTAAGTGTATATGGAATCTAGATAAGACCATCCACTTACGCTTTGCCATGCCAGTGGTATCTGTAACACATAGGTAGCATTTAAAGTCACTTTAATTTCGCCTGTCAAATAATTACAATATGCTGGCTGCTTACACATTCGTAAATATTGACTTAGAAATTATATCTAAAGCAACTGAGGGGCTTGTAACATCCTTATGACTCCCGACCATTTAAAACAGAATGTATTTTAACACGGTTAATTATATCTTGGCTGAGAGTCCATGTATAAGACAACTGGAATATGTTTGCCGATGTCTTTAAAATGCAGAATGGATCCACCGAGTTATTAGTCGTTATTGATCGGTCGGTTTAAAAAGTTTATTTTATATCCCAGTCCAATGTGCAAACTTTGCTTGGCATTCCATGTTGCCAAGTCTTATCGTGCATAGCAACATCCACGAGAATTTTGTACATCTGGGTAGCATGCGTCTATAAACGCAGTGGAATAGTCACAAGATGTCACTGTGGAGTGTAATTTCAAATAAATGATTCATCATAATTTGTTGAAATTGCCATGATCCTCAGTGGAGTTGCGCGGAAGGCATTAATCACACGGAGGGCGGAAAAACCCCAAAAGTGGTAGAGAGCGAAAAGAGACACAGGCATCATGGACAGGAGCAGGAGACGCAACACGAGATCCACAGAATGAGTGGAGAGCGTATCGCGAGCGAGCAACGGTAGCGGGTCTGACCCAAGGAGAACGAAGGTTGTATTGGTCGAATTCTGCCCAATAGGTCTGCCAGAAACGCTTTTGTTGACGTATCCATGAGTAGCACCACTCAGAGTAATGCAACCGAGATCAAGCAAATCAGTATCCTTAGAACAAATAAAGGCCGGTCAGAATGCGTTTTACGGAAACGAAGATACGTAGTCAAGCAAGCAGGAAGATTACACCAAGTTGGAACGAGCCGATGTAGGGATATGATGAGTAGTGCGTTACCGTGTGTCATGCGTTGTGGAACGGTAACATGACCCATATATGCACAGGCGCGTGATCGAGTAAAAGAATGATTTTGATTCCATGACAAAGTGTTTTGGTTACAGTAAGATCACTACGGTTAAGCAACACAGCTTGTTCCCCACTCAGTTATGAGGATCTCTCAATAATTTATAGTTCCGGGTTATTTATTTCAATATGATTTTCGGTCAATGAGGATGGAGTTTACTGGCATGCGTGAAATTTGGTCACATCGGAACTGCTTACTAAAAATATGCACAGACAACAGACGTAGCCAGCACCGATATGTATTGTAATTCATTGTAAGCGTTTTTACATTTACGCAATAGATCTTACAGTTAGTACTGATAACCAGAGGAACATATGCTAGGCACGCTCACTGCGAAGGCAGAACATTTGATGATAGTTCATTAAATTTTTCACTAGCATCAACCAGAGCTGGTCAGTAAGGACACTCGTGCTGTCTATATAAAACAAGAAACCATTCCGTCAAACTCATCAGGGAGGATGGCGTAAAGTACTCACAGGACCATGTGATAAGCTTTTGCTTTAACCCCAACTAGCTTTACAGACATATGAAGAAAGTTCATATAGTTAAGCGAGGTATTCCGCTCTACAAAGAGCCTGCGGAGTAGCGCAAAGACCACAGCTTATCATTTTTGACAACAATTTAACCGTACATTCCAAAAGATGTAATCATGTTACATGCTGTATACACAGATCATACCGCCACCAAAGATTAGCCATATATCATTTACCACGACGGATGTACTGAGGCGATTAATATGATTGCACGAATACTGCTCGTCCAGTGCAGGCGACATTCACCCAGTGGCATTGAAAGTGGCTGCCATGAGTTGAGCTGAACCGTTCTTTCATCTGTTCTAATGATATTTAGATAACCACAATGTGAAAGCAAGGGATCTTCATCATAACCTATAACAATGACAGTTTTGCAGAACCAGTGAGATATTGGCAGGTAACACTACTTCCGGGTAAGTTCAAGGTCATGGAGTCCGTTGTCTCTGAAGCGCCCATGCCGTCTACCTGGAAAGTAACAAAATGCACACTGCTGAGCATTATGGATTTTGCCAAAGCCGTCTGGACCATCGCGATTACTTCCCAAGCTTCAGTACTGGGTACTTGACTATCCGTTTCCGGTGTGGATAAGCAAGTTGCATGCTCAACGTTACCTAGAATTGAGGTTTCACAACACCATGTCTGATCCAATCGAAGTCCAACGCGGCGTAACTTACTCTTCGGTACAAGAATCATACTATTTCAAGTTTCCATAAATGACCTCGTGCCGGTTGTCCTTTAAAATTTGCTAATATCCACTGAGGACCTGAAGACCTGGCTTACTATTAATATAATGGAAGATGGCACAGCCCAAAACACTGATCCAACTATAGTTTGCCTACGGTCGCCAAATACAGCGTTCTGCCATACGCCAACCACGCACTTACAACTACCGGCTAAAGCCATTAATTCCACAACGCCCTTCCCATGAGAGCGATCTCGGCGTATTCATACACGATTACCTCGGCTGTTTGAGCTAACCCGAAAAAGCATCGGAGAAAGCTATTTAGCACTTCGGCCTCCCGTGTAACATATTCGGAATGTTGGACACCTCCATCTTTACACAAATGCTTAGCGCCTACGTGAGGCTACCGTAGAACAAGTTATCCAAGCATGGAAACATTCCTGGGAGATCCACCTCACCGTGCTCAAGACTACACAACGCAGAGCGACAAAGGATGTCAAAGGCTTGTACCAAGTCCCTTTACCAACTTATACTGAAAAGGATAGGAGTGTACAGTTGACGTTATCGGGGTCTACCGAACTAGCTACTGATGTTGCGTCAGATCCTAAACCATTCCTTGCCTATATCATTGAGAACTCAGGGAAAGACATCTCTGAGGGACCGGTTTAAGCGGGCCACGCAGTATAGCCGACTGGGATGTCGAGTAAATTTTTCTTCTTTTGAGTGTCACAGCCCTGGAACACCCTTCCAGCACGTGTAATTAGTTTTCCCACTTCATCATTATTCAACCTACAACATGATGACACGCAGGACTGCATCGGACTTCGCTTAAAGTTCAAACTGGAGTACTTACGTCTGCGTTACAATAAACCAGTTGTTATGTCCTGTAGCTTACGAGTTCTTTTATTAACATGGTGTATTTGCCTTGCAATTTTCACCCAAACCATCCTACGGGCCTTGTCAAGCAACGGGCTTTTATTCACCTAATGATTGATTGCTTTATTACTATGTTACTTTTTTGTCAGTAAGCGTATCATGACTACTTTCGCTAGCAAGCGGGATGCAAAACAATGTTTTGTTATCATGACAGTTGCCTAGCTCACATTTTCAACAGTTCAACGGTGTACTAGGCATCGTTATCCTTATTCATATATACCATAACTCGAGCTTGATTTTACTAAGCGAAATCAAAAGGATGTAGAAACTCAATGCAGATACAAAGTAACTGGAGGGAATTTGACTACGCGTGCCACAACACAGTAAAATGCAGTTACTTAAGCTGATCACTTAACACAACTAACATGAACGCAGTTTACTTCCATCTACTCCTACGTTAGACTTGGAATTCTTTTCTTCAACTGGTCACATCCATCCGCGAATAGCCAGTGTTCAAGGAACTACCTAAACATGAACTGAGGCAAATTTGTATCAGTTCAACGTACAAAGATGTACGTTAGCAAATATTTGCAATCTTCCTGTTTTATACAACTCCTGTTAACCGGGTCAAATTACCAAGCATTCTAACTAACCATAATTCCATTAGCATTAACCGCTTTATATTAGAGATTTAGATTGATACGTGGAATGTTTAAATATTAATGCTAAAGTACTTGACAGCCAACTAATCGCAATGTCATCAATGATTATTTTAGGTAACTTACCAAGCGACATTCTATTTAGGATTTGGATGAGTACTAAAAAGCACATGTGGCGAGAATAAGAGTGAGAGTGCACGAACAATTTAGCAGCTATATTTGCATTTGTGATGAAGCATTTAGCAGCAAATAGGAGAGAATTTAGAGTCACTCACTTTCCGCGGCATCTTTCGATACTGAATTATATGCCAATGAATGCATTAGATGATGTAAAAGCAACAAGGGATTATTACACTCTTAGTTTAAGCCTCTTTCAATTTAATCTCGTGTTTCAAACTAAATTGCGAAAGACCATTTGATGGGATGGAAACGAAAGTCCTATACACATCGATATCCGATAACCAGTGCTGAACATTTCGTAGCATAGCAAAAAACCAGTTACTTGATTTAACAGAGACCTCGTGATTGACGGCTGCTGACATAAGAATAGTCGAGTAGTTGTTAACTCATATCAATTAGGCTATTGCTGGGTTTAAAGGTATGTTCATAGTTTCCCTGAGAACAAAAGCATTGGCAGAGGACAAATAGGTGGGAAAAATTGAAGTTAAACTTGGTCGTCCATAAAATGCATTTAAAGAGGAAGAATGCTACTAGGTTTTGTACTAGGGATTCCAACTGTGTTTAGACAATCCTCCTAGTTTTGTTAAACAAAAACGATATGGAACGTTCGGTTTGCAGTCATGTATTTATTAGCCAGCTTTGTTTCGATTAAATTAACTAGCACATTTTAACAGCCTCATTAAAAGACCGAAAATTGATAGCAGCTTTTTGGCCATAAATACACTGAAAACTGAAGTTGATGTGAATGCTTCCGATGAATGTGTTACAGTAAATGCATAACGTGATAAGAACAGCATGTTTACATCTAACATATCTCTTGTATGATGCTGTTGTCTAGTCTCCAGTAGATACTGTCTTATATCGACAGGAAGTTGCAAATGGAAAGATTTATGAAAACAACATGTTAATCGGCCTACGGGAATGTTTGATCATCACTTTGATATGCGATTGGCGATGGAATGTCTAAGTAATTTGTTTCCAAATGTCCACATTTCGCGCTCCATGGGAGTTACCTATTTCACTGGACTACAAAACCAGTCATAAATGCACAGAGTTTCTATCAGGTGAGGCAACCAGTAATCAATATGCAAATGACTCACTAGGTTTCATTTCCACTATCACTCTGAAGATCACTATAGAACATAATGTATAATAGTGGTGTATAACTCGATTGTGGATACTTCTAGAAACACGCAGTTAACTGTCTTTACGTATAGAGTTAATGGGAACCAGAAAAGTTTAACTTACACTGTCCGGACTTTATCGGATCTGAAACACGATTGGAACATTAAGCACAGTGTAAGCACCTGAGTGCTAGGTGGGTGTGTATTTGGTGACATTTTTGAGCGAACCATATCTTTGGTATTCATTTTTTACCTATTTCTTGCCACTTAGAGGAAATCTTACTATTACACTGGTCAGTATTGTGTTTGCTATGCTTCAACCAAAATAAAAAGCGCATAGTTTGTCTGATTGGAGCGCTTTTTAACGTCAGTCGTTTACATTGAGATTGCACGTCACAATCCATTCGTACATGAGTGCTTCATAACGGCCATTCAATCGGTCGCTAACCTTGGTAACAAGCTTCGCCCCTCGTGACCAGGTAGTCAAGGTGTTGGAGATTTCGGCTACTATTTCAATGACCTCGGTTTCGAGGCGTGCTAGCTCCACCTGATGAGACCAAGGAGAGCGAAAATCGTCGTAGTGTGCAGTGTTTTCGGTCGAGCAACATCCACATTCCCCCCGCTTCGACTACGGTCTCAGGTATCGCAGTGACCAAGCTTAACTTCACTGTCAGTCGCGGTCTGTACTGCTATTGCTCGTCGCAACACATTATTTACACAATGGATGCTTCAAACATAGCCACCAAACATTCAGTCGTCCAGTTTAGGCAGACGATACATAGTCCAAAAGTGTCACCAGGAAAAAAGTGATGTATTACGGATAAAAATACAATGCATAACAAGTCCCGGATAACCATACACCTGTGTCACATTTTATAACCCACCATAGTGCTCATACCACAGGTAGTGTAGGCGCTTACTTCAGTCCCAACAAAGCGCGTGCCACCGTTTTCCCTTTGACCTTGGGCCTATGATCGAAATTCGCTAATGTGATGTTGTGATTAGCTTCGTGTAAATTGCCCGATGACGATTAATCCACAGGCGAAATACTTAATTAAGTGTATGCACAATTGATATATCCACTTCTCTGCTGAGTTCAGAACGTTATCCCATCCAGTGATATTGCTAAAATCAGCTCCTCTCTCGAGTTCTTTGTTTTTGTTACATCTTACTGACTGCGATGTACTAATTCCTTTTCCGACTAGACAACAGCGTTTAATTCGGTGACAAAAATATATGTGATAGCAACTGTCCAGAAGACACTACAAACTGACAAAAGTGTGATATGTTTTAACCATTCCAAAGATTAACCGGATGATCGTCCTTTAAAACTTATCCGTTTTCAGACGATTATTTTTGTCTGATTGCCTCGGTCAGTTCACTTGTTGATCCGAAGTAACCGCACACAGATTCATAGTATAGAAACTTGCTCAGCGAGTGCCTAGTTGCTTACACTTTAATCACTTGGATGCTTACTTGACTTTACCTTCACATATACTCACAATTCTTGATCTATTCCGATGGGTCTTCCTCACTAATCCCGTCCAAAGGCGACAAGGACACAAATGTTGTTTCAGACGTAATTTCTGATGCCCCTTTGGTGCATTTTTCTTCTAAATTCCGAATTCTGGCAGGGAACTTTCAATCGACATTAAGAATCACCGACAATAGTTCATCGTGATTCTGGAAATATCAGTCATATGGATCTGCTGCGTCACTAATTGAATAAATCAATTGAATTCGTCTAAGAATGCAACCAGAGAATGGCATTGCAAGAAAAATTCGCTTCCCCAAGATAAGATAGTTGAAAAAAGTTTAATGAGTTCGACACAGCAGCTTGCTATCTAATGAGACTACCAGCGGTCCGGAAAAGCACTGGGCGGCCGTCGGATATGTGCATCCTTATGCTTCATCATAAACTGGAACTATGAGGTACCGACGCTGGCAAATTATGTCAGTGACCAAGGGATAGTTGGAGGAGTACTATAAATACTAAGGTGCCTGCGGTAAAATACGACCCATCCTTCAGATACATACAGGTTACCGTCCTTTATAGGATATTGGATGACCCAAAGCAGGTCAATACTTCTGCCAACAACAGATATCTGCGCATACCAATGGGGGTTGATCGCGCGATTTATGGATTGATGATGATAGAGGAATTCTTGAAGTCCCTTTTTTATTGGATTAATCAAATGATAACACTGACAAGTTTCAACAGGACGGAACGGCTGTCTGATTCTATTCAACATAGGTGCAAGGCATTATAGTGAACTTGATAAAATATGCCCAAAAATCCCATTGATAAGTAGCGATGAAAAGTTGTTCCAAAAGCCTTCCAATGGTATGCGTACATAGCTGATGTCAGCATAATTATTAACCTATTAGTGACTTCTCAGTGTTATATGCATGGGCAGTAACATGGTTAGAAGCTGTGAATAAGGCTCGCTGTATCTCACTTAGCCATAAGTTCAGATCGGTCTGCTGCCTCTTTCCGTGGCTTGGCGACGCAGGCTTCTGGCTAGCGGCACAAATTGCCAGTATCGACATACTGTGGATACTTTTCCTGGCGGAGCTCGATGATACGCCCTATTGACCCAACCAGACACTACAAAACTGCCAAATTGTGCTTTTCCAGTTTGGTGGTAAGATAGTTCGGTTTTTAACTGTTACGATCAATTCAGAGACATTTTTTATCTATTAAAATAACTAATTGTCCACTAGTGTGCCATACTCGCGCTCTAACTCAAATAGTGTTTTCTTTGTCAAAGATGCGAATGTTTATCTTAACAATTTGTGTGGAACTGATGGCTCCAAGGGGCTTGTGCAGTCCAAGCAGCGTTCGGTTTTCACGAGAGAAGGCGCACTATATCCAACAAACAAGTCCGTTCACAATTTTAGCATTTTCTGGTATCCACTACCATGTTACAGTTTTCGGACAACCGTCATTTAGATTTACCTGATCATGATGGTGCGATAACTTCGCAATTCGTCTGAATGGAATACTGTACATTACCGAATGTAAGCTGAGGATCTTTGGACAATTTTTCATTTATGTAGTGGGGACGTCGGCTTATAAAGAGGCTATATAGAATTTGAAAAAATGTCAGAAGTATAATCCAACCAGGAGTTTACTGGCCATCTCTGCCCTTGTCTCCATTTAGTTGCACCGCTAGTGACGGACTGCACTTCAGACGAGGAAGTGAATTGCTCATAACTGGGCATGTTACCTTTGTGTAGAAAATTCTCTTTATATTGCATATTTGACGTTCGCGATAGATGGTAGTATCGAATCAAAAGCGCTTAAACATTGTTATGCCCGGTCATCCGTTGCCTTAATGGTACAAAGTCGTCCTACACCCCTGACCGTGAACTACACTCTCAGCCACTGCTCTACTGTGACTCATTTGCATGAGGCCCCCGACACACCATCCCATCTTACCTTGTTAATCGGCTGTCTATCATCTTTCATATAACTTACCATCTTGCCAATACACTGTCCGATGCGGTGAAAGTCTGTTCTGATGGCCCTGCGCCATATTAACGGCGATTATCACATAAAACCGTGACCACAAGTGACCAATTGTAGTGCAACTTTCACTTGAACTCACACAAATGAGAGCAAGCAGTGATGACGTCAAAATGGTGAAAAAGCCATTTCGTTTCACTTTTGCCCGATTTTTTAGAGGTTAGCAAATACAGGGACTTCGAACTTTGAACGAATTTGATGTTGCAAAGGTAAACTGTCGGCTCACCTATGGACGGACTTATGTTCGATATTAAACGTTATTTATCTTCCGTAACTAGGCAATGATGACACCAATAAGGATGGATGTAGATTCCTCTCCTTTCATTTAACAATACTGTAGATTTTCAAAAATGTTCCAGTTAATGATCGATAGGTGGATTGATTTACTCAGCAGCCTCTTGCAACAGTGCGAGATAAGTCACATCTAAACTCGGAAGAAGGGAACATAGTGCAGTCGAGTTTAGATGCTTGCTCAAAATATCGGTGCACAAAATCACTACGAATCACTGCTATCGCAAGGACGTAGTTCACCTTTTCCATCTCATTAACCCTGAACCACAACATGTTATGCAAATTGGACAGGGGGTGAAATTGGTTGGACAGGGTGTGATGCGGTCTTTGTTTTAGGTCCATCAGTATTTCAAAGTTCGCCAACTCCTGGTTCAACGACCCGCCGAAGAAGGAACACTCACGGGATCTATCCTATCGTTCCAGTCCCACTTGAACTTGATAAGTTACCAAGACTATCTTATATTTGGATCATCACCGCTAAATAAAGCGGAGAGCATTAATGAGAGAACAGTAGCAATTGGAAAACATTGCTAACGCTAAGAAAAGATATCAAAAGTGCACATAAGTACGCGTGCGCCTACGCCAATAGCTACCAAATTGCACCTATACGCAAGCATTACTCACCAAGAGGCGACTTGAGTATGGAAGGAAGTATTGCTGTAATGCATCAAGGAAAATGTCCCGGTTATGTTGTGTGGATTGGTAAGCTATTGCAGGCATATCGTTTATGTTCGATCTCACTTGATAAAATATTAGGTATACGATTTTGCTTACCCTGAGATATCTCTTTCGCGTCTGGGAAAAAATGCGCAAGTAGGCTATATTTCAACTTGCGCCGACACATCACAGAGTCTTCACACTCCACTGATGCGTTAAAACTCATATTATCATAGCATGATATTTCAACATCGTCGTTACTATTTCAGGTCTGAACAGGCATCATAAGACATTATAGTGTTGTGCATGCCAGTCTATTGAGCACATTCCAACTGCGCTTGGCCGTAGATCAATTTGCAACATGGCACATATGCCAGCACACTTTGGATATTACTAACTTGTGGTATCGCTGGACTAATACGCGCAACGAACAACGCTTCTCATAGTCAGTTTATCAATATGGTGACTATGCGATTGCGCGATCTAAGACACAGTAAGACGGTACAAAAGATAATATTTACCTACTATCGTGGTTAACATATTTGTTGTGACCACAACTTAAAAATCGTGCGAATTGATGCCATTACATACAGGATAAGAAAACTGCTCAGTGAGCTGCTTGGCACTTAGTATATTAACCCTTAACTCCCGAAGCTACCACCATGTCCTACACAAGTGTTAACTATTGTTTACTTGGTCGCATCTTTACAGCTGACCTGCGTAGCCAGCTACTCAGTCATTAGGAATGGACACATAAAGACGAAGCTGCACTCAAATGTGGCTAAAATAACTGTACATCAGGTAAATGGTCCATGATTGCCAACAGTCATGTGGCAGTAAATATTATTTGCAATGCCATTATATTCAATCTAGTCAACTGTAAATTTAAATAACGAGATTTAAAATATTGTCAGCCTGCTTATGTTGGTACTATCATCCTAAGTGACCACTTCGTTTTAGAGATCATCCGGCTCCGAAAATATCAGTGCGCCTTTTCCGCATAACACGAAATCGGTGACAGTTACTTTCCAAAGTGTATGCTGTCAGTTTTACATAAATGGCCGTGAACGCCATTCTGCAAAAGCTCAAAAAACTGCATGAGGTTTTCAGCAGAAGTTCGCTTGCACACTTTAATTTTCAGTAACCGTTGGAACATGACAGTAAATTTCCATGCCTTCTTACTCGCTACGTTAGGGTCTGCGCATCTGTAAATTGGATATTATATAATACCATATTTCCATCTACCTAGAAGCTGGCTGGCCAGCTGGATTGTTCTGCTTTACCTCACTTCAGCTAATAGTACGGCAGCAGTGTTCCAAAAGTTGTCGGTTTTCGTCTGGCAAGCGTTCTCCCTATACAATGTCACAAACATCCGTCTGACAACAATGCGACTTTACGGTGAAAATCCCGAAAACATATGTACTGTCCTCTGCTTATCTGGATAATCCTATGCAATCCACGAACGTCATACATCCTTTCTTACATTTTCGACGCGATTAAATAGTCAGAAATGCGGTGGCACATGTATAAAACCATGCAACATATCTACCTACATAAACACACACGCTGTCATGGAAAATGTAGTTTTTTACATTTCCCAATCCATCCATGTGGTCTTACCATGATTATGCCTGTACAGGCGTGTTTCGCATTGTCGATAATAAATTATTTTTTACTTGAAGACCATCATGCACCATAGAAGAATTTTCAGGTAGCTGTTTTGGTATGCTGGGTGAGCTTTTCCACGAATACTGAATGTGCATTTTATGCAAACTTACAATTGTAACGCTTGATCAACACTGAATTTGGACAGCTTCTGATTCCGCGCAGGCGCCTTACCTTCTACGCTAACTGGACCAGCCTTGCGAAAAAATGCGAGCTTTATTTTGATTTCTTAAAATACTTGCTGTCACACTCCAAAGGTTGGTTAACCGATAAATACTGTTTGATAACCATGCACATCCACAGTGAAAACGCTACCATTGAAGGGTTTCTGCGTTGCAATCTCTTTGCAGCACCGCACGATGCCTTTCGTCCTGGTTTACACTAATCAATTAGAGATAACCTGAATTGCGTGTCGAACTGGGCTCATACTGGTAGACGGTTATCTTCATGATCACCAGAAAATTGAGCTCCTCTTGCAAAGCCTAAGAGAACTATCAACTATGGTTCTTAACATTAACTGATTGAAAGCACTACATCTTCCTCCGTGCCTCTAATTCAGTTCGTGACGGTTTTTGAATGCAGCGATACTGTGGTGCACGCCATTAGGAGAATTAAAGTATTACAACAACAGCGAAGAGTACCCCGTGGCTTCGTAACTTGTGCTCCGTTAATTTTGTATGCAAAATCAATATAATCTTTGCATGAATGTGGACAGCAAATAACATATTTGTGCATCAGAATGAGGTTAATAATCCTAGACGTATTTGTAACTCACCGAACTTCTTCCCTTTCATTTTTTTGACAATTGCTTTAGAGGGAGCGATAACGAAAGAAAATAAAGTGTTCCGCATATTTTGTTACATCCGCTCAAATATGAATTAAAATTAACCTAGCGCTTGGATTGTAGTAGACAAACTTACAACCAGCAGTTACTTCTGCATCTGAAATTTATGGACAGCACTGAGGATAGATGGGACCAAGCAGATATATGATAATGACTCAAGATTTGGAGTTCTTACGATACACATCAGCAGTGACGAAGTGTTTGGTTCCGTTTTAGAAAAGTCATTATTAGTGAGAAATTTGATAAGTGAATTTGGTCAAATTTTACTACTGTTTATCTCTGTATGCATTTTTTCAATAATGCGAGCAGTCATTACAGAAATGAAGGTCATTTCATTCGAGAGACAAATTAATGACCATTTAAGGACAAAGCGAAGTTGCAATGAAACGTCTCTGTTAATTGTTACCTACTTAAACTATAACTTTGGTGTAATTGTGAACTGTTTCGTATCCTTTTGCTAGCAGGTAATTTTAATTCGAAATCCCTAAGCAATCACTATAATTAAATGCATTTGCCCACTCACCCAACGGTTTTTCAGGTGTCAATCTTTTGTATACTAGGAAAATAAACGGAGACACGCGCAATCAGCAAGTACTCGAATAGGTTGGTGAAGTTTAGAACCCCATTTACCTTACAAAATTTAGACATTCATTTTGCACCTAAATCATCAAACTTACAAGCTTTGGCGATTTCAGTATCTGCAGTTTGCGTGGAAGGCAAGTTGATGCGTGCGGAGGAGAGATGAATTGCAGCTCGCATTTCGGGCAGGATTAACAGTGACATGGCAGTCATAGGAATTATCGCATTTACGAAGTTTGCTTTCTAATACTTCATCAACTGTCAGATGTTCTCACTGGTGTTTCAACCTTTTAAATGTCAACAATTACTCTAGCCTACACTGCACAAGATATACGACTTCGAATAATCCCGAGAAATATCACTTTCTTATACCTGCCTAACTTATATAGCAAAGAAGTTAGAATTCACTATTAACAATTAACGAATGGAAAAACGTATCTGTTAGGGATGAACATAATGCGGTAACGACAGCTATAAAAATTCAACATCCACTACTATCGCAAATGCGTTATAATGATGATGACCTGATCAGTCCACATAAGTAGTCCTATCTCCACATCTCGGGTATACTAAATTTATGCCAGCCATAAAGTTTTCAATATTAGTTGCACATAAACAGTGCAGATTGTAATCAAAAAGGAGGAAACGTGCCATAATGGAAAGAAATAATAAGCAGCGTGTACGTGTTTTGCATCTACGTAGTAATGAAAATTTATTCTGTGTGAACGAAATGACAATTCTGTGTAAAATTGGATAGGCACGTATGGGTATGCAATCAATCGGGCGAGCTGCACGGTTTTGGTTCTGTGCATCTTGCAAAAAGATATTTAAAGAATAAGGCAGCGTCAGCGACTTAAAAAGTTTAAGGATATAAATCAGTTTTCATGTTTCGTAAAGAAATTTAGTCCTAGGAAAAGCAACCTTTCTTCTAAAGAGATAGAAATCGTGCACTCCAAGTTTGTTCCAAGCACATTTCGAGACAATGCCACTAGTAAGGGTTAGAATAAAATTCTTATGCATTTTCAAGATTATTAATGAAAAAGAACAAAGTAACACGCTTTCAGCAATGTATGGTAATAAATGACGTGTAAAACAGAGACTTCCCTACACAAAAAGGATTTTTACTACGTACGTGACCGGTAGTATGTAAAATCAAGTATATCCAAGCGTTAGTAGGGTTCACGGATGTTAAAGTTCTGACGAACACGGCCTCGAGGATTTTCCGTAACAACGTTGGTCGGAACTGAATGGCTTGCTGTTTATTATCTGAACACCTTTGCCCATCACACAGGAAGCGTTAGAGTTTGTATGAGTGTAGCTGTGCTTTTTACATAAACATTTTTAAATAATGCATTCCGATACTTGGTTGTTATAAACAATTGACTCGTCACTATCGAGCAGCTAATAATATGACAACTTGTACTGAGTATTTAGTTACACTATGCTGGTAATATAGTGATATAGCACCGTCGAAGGTTAGTTCCGAATAGAAAACTGTCAATTTTAAGCCCAATTCTTTTACTTGGATAAATGGTGACACTAGATATGTAAATATGTTCTGTGTTGCGAATAACAAAGAGAGTGAGGCAAACGATCACATTCATTTTGCACAGGAATAAACCATCTTGTATTAACGTGGCTGATAAAGCATTTGTTCATATATGTCAACTGTTTTGCACTACTTCACCGATGACCCGGCAGTAAACAAAATGGGCAGTGTGCGCAGAGAAATTCCTTGTTTGTGTGCTCGAGATTGACGTCGCAGTTCGCATGTGCATCATAAATGCCGACTCATTGTGCTGCTTTCAAATCGTAGCATGCTTGATCATAAGTAGGCATGTACCTTACGAAGCACAACAACGCATAATAAGGGCAGGAGATCAGAGCAAATGATTAAAGCACTTACCGAGCTTTGCTTCAAGCACCACCTTGTCGATTACTGTAAAGAAGTGCGTAAATTGCACCATCCGATGAGAGGACCTCTAATATGACTCCAGTACTGCAGTAAAAGTTTCACATGCGTGGATTAGTTATGTCACAAATGAAGTCACTCACATTGTTTGGACGTTGTCACGTCTGTATTAGAAAAAAATTAAAAACTAATTTATTTTCTTTTAGGTGTGACATAACAGCAATGCAGTTGAGGCGATCAGCGATAGAATAATGTCGCTCCAAGGGAGTTTGTCCACACGAGACTAAAGGAATTTTCGATATTTGTCAGCAAAGTTACGACATCAACAACATCTGTGCATTTCTCGTCTTTTCCCTTACATCCGTTGAATTATTTCACTAGCACCGTGATGACGGGAACCAAGATATTCCAGCCAAATGGTCTATAATTTGTAAACCCTGAAATTAGCAGCTACCTTCTAAATTGCAAGACAACTATATAAAATCGATTCTTTCGTCTATGCACAAATTAAAATTGTAAGGAAATCGGAAGCAATATTGAGTCTTGAAGTTTCATAACATAGCAAAATCATTGTGAAATGGTCACTAGAACATAGACGGTAAACTTGGTGGTAGGCATTTTAAAGCTTGAAAACCTGCTAAATGTTGTAATTGACCAGTTTAGATCCAAGTGGCTGCACTATGTCCGGCAAATTGTTTTAGTCGGAATGTATAGCATACGGCTCATGTTAGACATTATTAATATTATGTTGTCAACTGCTATCGAAAGATGAGATGAAACAATCCGCATTCATGCAGCACTTCGTTACTTAGATAATGATGGGAGTGAAAGAACTGTGGTGTTTCTTTCTCCGTAAGGTAACAAAATAACTCCGTAATTCATTAAACTGTACAACGTGACATCGATTAGCACAGATATGCTAAAAATGGTAAAATACAATTTCTTAATTCGACACTTGTTATAAAATCGCATAAAATCTATCTTTGAACTCAACAATCCAGTGGATACGCATCTTGCGTTTAGTCCCAGCAGCAAGGCATTCTGCGGAGGCTAATCTCCTGAACACACAGCTCAGAGGACAGAATACATGCACAAACATAAGTTACCACTTTAACCTGTGAAAATTGTGAACTCCAATAGTGTGAAACCTCCGTCAGTTGGACACTCAAGCAACTGGATCGAATCGGGTAACATACTGAAGTATGCGCATCCATACACTATACATAGTGATTTGTCAAACGTGGAGGAAAGCAGCCAAAATGGCGAGATATGCAGAAGTTATGGGTTGTCAACGGCGGCGATTTATGCTACGTCATGTAATATGGTTGCTTTGGTGGTAATGCACAACCATTGCATTTTCTATCTCTCGGGTTATTTAACAAAGGAAATGACTGTGATGAAGCACAAGTGTTGTCGTTAAGCGGCTTCAAATTTGGACCATGCTGTTGCAAATCCGTCAGATATGGTTTGCGATTTTCTGATATGACCTCCAAGGTTTCAGAGCTCACGGTATCTTTATGGTGCTGTGGTATTACAAAACCAGCCGACAGCGACAGCAGCATCGATAGACGAACAAAGATGAAGCACTTAGAAGCTGGACATTTATAATCACACACAGCCCGAGAGTGAACGTAAACTTATCATATTGCTTTCGAGTATCATTTTTTCATGCCCATATTATGCGTCGCAGCTCTGTGCTAAATACCCATGCGTTACTCACCAAGCTTCATTTTGAGTATGACCTTGCTGATTACTGTGAATAGGAATTAGAAATCGGAAGATATGCCTGTGATTATACATGGAACTTCCAACATCTAAGTATAAATGGTTGCCTTATATCAAATGCCGTGCAACTTACGGTCCACTGTTTCATTGGTCCCTACAAAACGTGGAAGGTTGAGAGCGTGATTACGGCGCATCAATGACACCCAACATGAGTACAATACTTTTCATTCATTTATCGTTCTGTTTGGTGTCCCATAGCCACGTGTTGTGCGCCCAACATTGCAAACGGTGTTTGATGCCATCTCCTATCCGATATGTGCAACATTGTGGAAACTCGCATTAATTTGTTCCAACAGAAGATGGTCATATTATATAATATATTGTGTCACACATGCGTGTTTTAGGTTGCCAGATTAAACTGGTGGCATGGTTAAGTTCACAGTCCTTGCCTTAGCAGTTAGTGGATTTTATGCAGTGCTTTCCAAATTGCACGACATGTTTATCTTGGAGCTGGTTGACGTGGTTTCACTAAGACTGGGTAATGGCCGCTGCACATCGACGTGTTTTCTCCCGTTTCCCGTTGGTAACCTAACCAATGCATATCGCGCACTCATCCACCTGATTGCATGGTATCTAAATTTAATTAACATGAACAGGGCGTTAGTTGGTGAATACCTGCAAACATGGTAATGATTAGACAGCAGTGTGGAAAAAATTTTGTGTAAGTTGATAAAATCATATTGCCCGTCGACGCATAAATGATGCGGAATTGTTGTGAAAATCTACAGCATTGATTTCCACCTGAGAATATCATTGATCCTACTTCTTAACATTCCGTAATTACTCTAAGCTGATATTTTGCTGCCCATCAGTAATTCTGGTTTTCGTGTTAATGATAACAGAAAAGGAAAACCGGTGCCAAACATTCATGCATCTTGATATCCGGAGCAAGCGGAATGGAAGATTATATTTGTCGAATACCTTTCTATTCAGCGACATGATTCTAGTTAATTTTGAATCAAAGCAATATAGAAGTTAAAATTAAATGAAGAGGTTCATGCATACAGCGGTACCTGTTGAACCCAAATATGAGAAGGGTTTCGCTTCAATACGATATGTACACCTATTTCCTATTTGCTGTTTTTAGGATAAGACACACACACACTGCTAGACTTGCAGCAACAAAGCAATCTATATTATATGAAATAGAATAGTTAGATCTGAAATACTTTTCAGAGCCTGCGTGACCGTAATCCAGGTGGCGCACCATAATTGAGCTATTGGGAGACCCAACATCACGTCTATACCAACTATTCCGGACGTGCTCGTGAATCCTATGAAATAGGCGCCTTGTAGTAAGACCAATATATGATGAACCACAAGAGTCCGATTACTGACAAGCCAGCATTGATCCAAACAAACTTTGCTTTAATTCGGACAAGTAGACAACTTCTATTTTGGAACATATTTATGTCACGCAGTTGCTTGCCTTCTCTATTCTGCTAATTCGGACACGTTCAGATGTGCAGTGTGCGTTGGCCAGCAGCATGCTTGTGATGGGACTATCATAGCAGTGAACCCATTACAGTGAATCGCAAACTGGCCACGGATCGGCCAACCTTCTTGTGAGTTAGTCAACGTTTGTTTAATTAAGTCCAAGCAGGAACACCGTTGAAGTACCAGCGCCTCTATTTGTGGAGGTGAGGTGAAAACTTAGCTCAAGGAGTTTGGCTTTCCAAAAATGATGTTATTTTTGCTGAGCAAAGGATTGTCCCTGAAAGACTGAAGTTCTGATTTCCGAAAACAAGAGCACTAGCATTCCCTGCAAATAGAACCATCTAAACAGCACTATTTCTACCACTGTAATAATCCATCCATTTACAAAATATTGCTGTTGTCAACAAGCAACCTCCATCTGTTACTCTGAACATCTGCGTTTCCTTACCTTAACCAAAACTTGCATACTTCATTTAGACAAGACGGTAGTTTAACAGTTCATCTCCATAAATCAGCTGATTTGGTGTTTCGCATTTAGGAATCATGTGCTGCTTCAGACTCAACATCCTAGGCAGAGAATTAGCCAACAACACCTGCATAAATAGATCATAGTTGACTGTACTACTTTCTCTTTGACTATTGGCTTGGAAGATGGGTGATAATATATAATGTCAACACGACGCGAGTCGGTAACGGTGCATGATCTCGAATACCAAATACAGGAGCTTGACCTTCGAATCAGGAAGAACCAAGGGTCCTAAAACAAGTAATTTTAGTCCACGGAATGAAAATCCGAGACGGGATTTACAGACCACGTATGCCGAGGTCACATGTGAGATTCGATCAACACTTTCGACAGAACAGAAACAGTCTTTGGATTAGCCAATAGATAAGACCAACTGAGGTCCGCTCCGAACCGTAAGTGTAACACCTCCGGTTTAATCCATTGATGAATGACCACCACAAAGATATGAAGCACAATAGCTGAGACCTTTGGAATATCCATACGAATCTAAATGCTTGTAATGTCCACGAGTAGATTTTTACCAGATATGTACATACTTCCCCAACTTGGTGATTCATTCATCGTGTCCGTCTCCATCGGAATGAGGATGTTGCGTGATGAGAGGTCAAGTGACACCGAGGCGAATTCACAAAATCCCTTAGAAGAATGACGTTGGGCTATTTTACAACACACCACCCGGCAAATATGGGTAGAGCACAACTTTGATATACGAGAAACGAGTTCATCTGGAATACAGTCGCGAATACTGAAGGCACTAAAATTATTAGAATCCTTGGTAATTAATACATCTAACTTTTCGGCAAACCGGGAGGTGAAACTGCTTCTACGTCTAGGGTCTATGCGATTTACCACCATCTATACGGCAAAGCATGCTATGTAGCAGATGACTATTTCAATGTTTTATTTGTTGCGCACAAAAATATTATTATTATTATGCACTTCAATGTGCTGAAAAGTATTCAATGATGAGCTACTATTTGTAAACGCGTGCCAAATTTTCCGTGCCACCGCGATTTTTGGATGCTCATTCATTCTAATGAGTGCGGTGATGCGTCATTCGTCAAAATGTCATGGAGAAATCACACATCACCATTTGGTCCACAGAAACAAAATGGACAGAACAGCGAATTTGCAAGCGTAATTAGGGATGACACAGATTACATTTTAGGTGATGAGGTGCATTCATATTGGATTAACGCGAAAGGCGATATGAAGATACAGCTGCACTCACCGAGTTTCAGTAAAGTCAATAACTTTCCCAGCCCTGTGAAGGAAAGTGGAACTGGTTACAACCCATTCTGTGCGGTTACATAATGAAGCAGCATTTTATTGGCTAATGAGTTTTCATTTTTAGACAAATGGATTTACTCACATATACCAGAGTTAGGGATATCTGAAATAATTACACGGTTATTGATTAGTAAACTGTGTATGATAATCAGAAATAGATTAAACAAGGAATCGATGCATTTCGACAACCGGTTATCACTTAAACTGCATTTGAACGTCCAGATAATCTGCCTGCATTCCAGTTTACAAAATACACTAGAGAAATCAATTGACGGAGTTATATTGAGGCCGTCACAATAAACCGTACGCATCACTAACCGAGTTTCAATTGGATTAGAATCGTGCCGATAACTGAAATACACAACAGAGTAATTAATGAAATATGTACGAGCATAGATTGTCTTGCGATGTAAAGAGCGTTTACGCAAATTCACATCTACGAGCACTAGAGTTTAAACCGACGGACTTACATTCCGCTCGCGCATTCCCGTCTGCAATGCCCAAGTGGAAAACAAGATTACATGAATAAGTGTAGATTTCATATATTTTGCAAACGCACGCGAAGCAGTTGGTAGGCTATGCTTTCGAAATTTCCCACTTTATTTTTACAAATTTTATTATATAACGTTTTACCCAATCATACACGATAAGATGTTGCGCGCAAATAGCTTCTCCAAATTGCAGATCGATGCAACCGGAATAGATATTTCTATGAAGTATCATACTTTCTACTGGTTTATCCGCAGCCAAAATAGAGGAAAGCATTCCGCATCGAATATTTTTGAGATCGACGTCAGTTTAGGTTCGATCGTCAATCAGTTACCTGTGCTACCATTATGTAATGCATAGAAAACATCCAAGACAGTATCGAGCATGTATCACATATATTTTAGCCAACAATGTTAACAGCAACCGTTACTCACCAAACTTATTCGTTTGGATTAGCTTGAAGATCACTGGTAAACAAATTGATTAATAATAGAACATGAATAAATATGGAAGATTAGGCAGCGTTGAACAAAGTTATCCGAAGTAGAAGCAGGAAGTTTGGCTCACATTTGGACATTGAGGTCGCATCTAGAACATGGAAATTTCAAATGAAAGCTATATAAGAGAATGATCCTAATAATAATATGACATGCAAATGCGGTTAAATGCAATCAATGTTGCGAACGAACTTGTGTATCATAAAGCCCATGTGTATGTACAAAGAACGCAGGTGAGGCAATCATGAACCACGAAAAACAAGAACCGGATATATCTGTGCAATGTTTAAAGTGGTACATTGAGGTTACTGCAGAAACTAATGGAAACTTTTACAGAATATCAATCAGTAAACACACGGCATTTGAGTTCCAAAATGCCGGTCAGGCGGATGTAAAAATGTTAATGTTGAACAGGAAGATTTCAGGCGTATTTGCTTGAAACAGGGAAATAGAATTCAGGAGAGGATTCACTATGTACACTAACTATTTTTGTTCAACTAAGAAAACCTCGTCTGATAATGGATATGATATATTTTAACTAGCCCGCATCACAAGTGCACTTAAGTTCATCCACGTTGCTTCGATCATCCACCGTCTGCTTGATTGTAACAAATAATATCAGCTACCCGAAATCACAATGTCCGTGGCAAGATTTTCTAATTCGCTGCTACGCAATAAATATACATCTGGGAATGAAGCGAATGGAATGGAAATTATCTCGAACATGTTTGCGTGTGAACATGTGACACATTGTGCTGCAACTCTGCGCGATCTTAATGTGCTATACCTTCGCCAACTGTTGAAGAGCCATTGTACATTGCTGCAAACGAGTACGACTTGCTAGTGTGGTCAAAATAATAGATTTCCTCAAGTCAGCGGTCTGGATTTGAGGACTAAACTTATTGGACAGAAAAGCTGAGAAATGAGGCAATCAGCAATTTTTCGCGATAAACCGAGTGTATTACAAGATATGAAGTCGAAAATCGGATAGCACGGAGTAGGTGTGTTCAATGCTTGTTAAAATTGTGATGGATATCTACTTGGGAATGATGCGAATGATACCCGGTTCACTTTGAGCTATAGCTGACATTTTTGTCGAATCACTTTCTTTCGTCAAATAAATGATAGGTAGAAGAAGAATGGTGATTTTACTCGCAACGGTAAATATTCATGTCAATGAAATTGGCGTGGAGATCCACAATCTGCATATGTTGTGCGAAATTGAGGAAACTGATTAGACGCGAAGAAGGACACTGAAAAAGCAGGGGAACTCAAGCGCACTGGTTGTCTTCTTCGACAGGATGGGTATAGAGTGGTGCGCATTAGCGAGCAAACCGGACAAAAGCAACACATCAGTTGAATTTATAAAACGTATCAATGGAAGGAGTATCCGACAGCATCAACACACTGTTGCATCTTTACTATTGGCCAAAGACTGTCGCGTAGGAGAATTGGGCACATTGACTAGTTGAATGTAAGAAGAAGTGGAAAGACACTAAAATCGATGTTGCATAAAAGACTCACACATCCTACATATAATTAATCTTGAGGAGAGATATTAGATGAAATTGGGAGAAGGATGTGATTTGGTATACACATCGCTCACCGTAATTTCCTCCGACTGCCATTTTCTTGAGGACTGCGGAGAACAAATTTGGATTGTGAGAATGCAGGAATGAGAGGTTTATGAGAAATGTTTCTGAGCACTCAGTTTAGTAAGTGTGCATCATTAATGTGAAGAATATCTGAACTCACCATCTGCGATCTTCGATGTGTCTGCAAATCAGGTAAGCAAATGCGAAGGGATGAGAATGCGTATAAATAGCGCTTGCTTAGAAAATTATGGATGTATATAGTAGGATTTTGATGAAGATGATTTCGACTATATACACCAAACGCATACACGGTTTGTTACGTTTATTTTCGTGTGCATGTCTCTGTAACACTCCGTAGTCCAGCTAGAGTTGTGTGGTTGTCCACGTGGCTCATTTTGTTTGTGGTATAATTGAACTCCCAACTTCATATCATATATCTCATGATGGGCGCATTAGTATTTGATTTCTCGCTGCTCCTAGTATACCTGAGACAGGTGTTATCCGTGCGCTGGTATAAAATATGAACTTCATCTGCCTTAATTCAGGTTGCTTTATGAGTTGCTCCCAAACCATCATGGCGATGATGATGATGATGATGGCATTGCCAAATACCATTAGACTATGTGAATCGCAATGTTGTACAAACAAATTGGTTCGTAGCATGCAATGTGCACCGTTCCAATTTAGCAGATGCGGCATCAGGTAACTCGAATAAATGCGAAGCTTGCATCTCTTTGTACGGTGGATGCGATTCTTGCAGTGTATGTCGAAGTTGCTCAAGGGTGTTCCACTGCTGTTTGAAAGCAACCGGTGTGTTGGCATGCGGATAACGAGGGGACCAACTATTGCGCTTAATCGCAAATGCGGTGCAACACACGGATTTATCCCAGTGGGAACTGCAAATGCGGTTGTCATCTCAGCATGCAATTAACCCAACCCAAATGACAGTCAGTTGTCATGGCAATGCAATGTGACCATGTTAAGTGCACAGGCACTGCTCACCAAGCTTCAGGTCGATTATCACTCTGTAAATGACTGGGAATGCGAAATGGAAAGCAGACCATCCGATTAATCGAGAAGTATAGATACAGTCGTTCGTACTTGCGTATCTATCTGTGATTCGTTACCATGCAAATGATTAAACTCACGCTCGGTGGTCACTGTAGAATCTGAAGTATTGTGATGAATTAGAGTATGTTTTCGCACCGTAGCAAAATAGCTTGTGTGCATAATTGTGTGAAATTGCCCATGTGGTCAATGCACCATTTCTCTCTGTCACTATGCTGCACCACGGAGCGAATTGCGCACGTTATGCAACAGAGTTGCCGTGGACCAGACGATGTGGACTTGAATCCTGTCTGGACCACAAAACTGCAGGTGAACATTGTGAATTCCACTTGAAACTTTCTAACCTAGCATGTACGAGGACAGGACTTTCAGTGTAGCATAAGTGACTGTTAGGTAACCTTTGTATTAATACCTGTGCTTTCACAAAGAGGATGTAATTTGCCTCAGACTGAACACGTAGTCGGCGTTTGCGAAGGAAATGACTATATGGGAATATCACGGGTGAGTTACGTTGAGGAAAGTGCCTTTGTCTATGGACCGCTATAGCGAAATTGAAAGTGTTGTAAATGGAGCCAGGCCCATTTTGGCACTAATTCATGCATCACGTTTGATGAAAATGGGAGTGAGGATTATGCATATGAGAGGTGCCTTCGGATCTCTCAGAGTTGAGTATAGATGGTTCTGAATTTTTCGTGCAAATCATCGCGTAGACGAATGAAAAATGTCGTACAGGGAGGGACCGCATCAATTTTCCATCTTTTATTTGGAAACAATTCGTATTGATCTAACACAGGAAACATGAAAATACGAAATATTTAGCTAAACTAAAAACCTTTACTGCATACGTACAAGTGATTCCTTTCGAAAATCAGGGACCGTAATAACTCTAATCAGTCAAAGTCAATGAAAGGATAAGTTGACTTGTCAACTAACCGGTTACGAGAAACCGGGGGCATTAATGCAAGGAACAAAGTTAGTCCAAAAATAATTTTTCATTCATGGGAAATTATGATGCTAACAAAGGCTCAACAATTGCTCTTTTGATTACAGAAGCTAAATCAGCATTGCAAAATACGAGTTCTACATCTCTGCTATTGAGTGTTTTTGCGATTAACTTTAGCTCATATTAACCAGTGTAGCAAATATTGATCAATGTACACAAGCAAATCGCGTGACAAATTTGGCCGCCAGATTTCTCCGTAAAACAGTTGGTCGGAACCGAATGGCTTGCTGTTTATTACCTGAACACCTTTGCCCAGCCCACAGGAAGGGTTAGAGTTTTTGTGAGTGTTGCGGTGCTTTTTACATAAACGTCATTGCAAATTGAAATCCGATACCTGTGTGTTATAAACAATTGACTCGTCACTATCGAGTAGCTAATAATATGACAACTTGTACTGAGTATTTAGTTACACTATTCTGGTAATATAGTGATATATCACCGTCGAAGGTGAGTTTCGAATAGACAAGTCTACCAATTTTAAGCGAAATTATTTTCATGAATATATATAGTGACACTAGATATGTTAATATACTGTGTGTTTAGAATAACAAAGGCGGTAAGGCAAGCAATCGCATTCCTTGTATAGAGGAATAAACCATATTGTATTAACTTGGATGCGAAAGCATTTGTTCATATGTATTAGCTGTTTTGCACTACTTCACTGATGACCCGGCGGTAGACAAGAGGTGCAGTGTGTACAGAGAAATTCCTTATTCATGTGCTCGAGAATGAAGTCGCAGTTCGCATGTGCATCATAAATGCCGACTCATTGCGCTACTTTCGATACGAAGCGTACTTGCTCATAAATACATATGCACCTTACGAGGTATAACATGGATACAAATGTATGCGTTTGAGCAAATGATTAAGTAACTTACCGAGCTTTGCTTCAAGCACCACCTTTTCGATTACTGTAATGTAGTGTGTAAATTGCACCCGCCGATGAGTGGACGTCTAGTATACCTGCGGTACTACAGTAAATGTTTTACATATGTTTTACATATGTTTTACATATATCACGACTGAAGTTGCTCACATTGTTTGGACGTTGTCGCGTCTGAATTAGGAAAAAACGCAAAACTATTTTCAGTATCTTGTTGGGTGTGAAATAACAGCAATTCAGTTGGGGTGAATAGCGGTAGAATAATGCTGCTCCAGGCGCGTTTGTCAACTCGCAACCTAAAATATTTTTCCATATTTGTCAGCAAATGTTACAACATCAACACCATCGCAGCATTTCTTGCCACTATCCTTAGATCCATAGAATTATCTCACTAGCACTGTGAAGACAGAAACCAAGATACTGCACCTACAAGTATCAATACTTTTAAAAACCTGTAAATACCAGCAACGGATATAACATATTATTAAGACATTTATATAAAAGCCAGTATTCCGTATATGCAAAATCAAAAATATATAGCAATCGGAAGTAATATTGAGTCTTGAAGTTTCTTAACATGGCACGGTCGTTGTGAAATGACCATTTCAAATTAGACGGTAAACCCAGTGGAAGGCGTTATAAGGATAGAAGACATGCTAAGTGTTTTATTTAACCGGTTTAGATACAAGTACAATGAACAATGAACAATGAACTTATACGGGTTAAGAAGCGTTGCTTTACAAGTCACGTTGGATAGTTGGTGGGGACATCGATATAACAATAACGACGACAAGGATAGTAAAATAGTTAATACTTTAAATATGAAAATAAGGACTATACTTTTGCTTCGCTGTAGTCCTACGATCCTCTTAGCTTCACAGCACCCACAGTTAACAAGAAATAATTCCATGGTAAACTCTAGGTGTAGGATGGAGACGTAGTGTTAAGTGACAAAGTGTAGGTGGATGAGTGCTTCGTCCATCCGTCTTTTAAATACTGTTAGTTTGGTTGCAGAGACGACCGATTCTGGGAGCGCATTCCACGGGTGACAGACACGAATGGATAAAAAATTTCTGCGGCACTCCAGACGACTGTATTGTTCTGCGAGTTTTAATGAGTGGCTCCTCAGGTTTGTATTGCTGCTAAGTTGCAGTAAAGGGCGGCACACATGATGTGGGCCTCGCAGAATCAAGTATGCCATAATCAGGTCGCCTCGTATTCGGCGATAGTTTCCACTGAACAATCTCAGTCGTTGCAGCCTCTCCTGGTAGGAAAGATTGCGCATTCCAATTACGTTCTTAGATGCCCGGCGTTGTGGCTGCTCCAGTGCATTAAGGTCGTGTTTCAGCCATGGATGCCAGACTTGAATTGCATATTCGACATGGGGGCGAACATACGTACTGAGCGTTTGTCGAAATATGGAGCTGTTTATTTGTCCAAACGCCCGCCTCAACAGCCCGACGTGTTGATTCCCGGTCTTCGAGGCCTTTTCGGATTGCCTGGAGCAACCCAAGTCATCTTGAACCAGGACACCCAAGTCACGTTCGAGAGTTTCATGTCGTAGTATATTCGTTTTGAGTCGGTATGAGTAGCTGCTCTGATGTCGGATGGAATCATCTTGCATTTATTGACGTTGAAATGCAATAAGTTTTGGGTCGACCATTGATACACCGTATCTAAATCACTCTGAAGCACATGTTGGTCGGCGTTCGCCTGGACCCTGCGCCAGATCTAAATTTAGTCGGCAAACATTAGGAAGTTTGAAGCGATTCCCTATGCAAGGTCATTAATAAACACCAAAAACATACTTGGGCATAGAACTGAGCCTTGCGGCACACCACACTCGACTTGTATGGGGTCCGATAAAGAGCACTAAACTCTGACCCACTAATTGCCGTTGAAGTAGAAAGATGGGGATCTAGCTTAAAGCCGGGTCTCCGATCTCGTAATGCTTCAGCTTGGATAGTAGTATCCGATGGTCTAGACGATCGAAAGCCTTGGATAAATCCAGGTAGATCCCATCAACACCTTCTCCAGCGTCAGCTGCCTCGGTTCAATTACTGCGTGCAATTAGTAAATTCGTTGTACATGACCGCTGTCGACGGAAACCGTGCTGTTCAGGAGTGATGAGGTTGCAGTTTACCAGGTAGCATACCGGTGCGTCGGCAACTATGTGCGCTATGTGCGACAAATTGATTTAGTCGGTATGCATAAAATACAGCTCATATTAGACATTATTAATATTAGAGTATGACTTGCTATGGATGGATAATATGGAAAACCTGCATTCATGCAACACCTCGTTAATTAGACAATGAGGGGAGTGAAAGAATTGTGGATATTATTTCTCGGTATGGTAATAAAATTACTTGGTCGTTCATTAATGTATACAATGTGACTTTATATAACACAGACATGCTGAAAATGGTAAAATACAAATCCCTATCTCGACACTCGCTATTAAAACGCATGATATCTCTCTTCAAACTCAACAACCCAGTGGATACGTGTCTTCCGTTTATGCCAAGTTGCTGTGCATTCTGATATTTTCTTGCACACACTGCTCAGGGGAGAGAAAACATGCACAATGCAAATAAGCTAACACGTTTAACTCATGAAAATCGTGAACTCAGATTGCGTGAAACCTCCGTCACTTGGACGCTGAAGCAACTGGATCGAATCGGACAACATACAGAAGTGTGCGTATCCATACATATTACATAGTAATCGGTTAAACATGGAGGAAAGCAGCCAAAATGGCCAGATATGCAGAAATTATGGATTGTCATCGACGGCGATTTTATGCTTCGTAATGGAATATGGCTGCTTTGGTGGTAGTGCACAACCATTTCCTTTTCCGTTTCTGGGGTAGTTTACCCATCGAAAGGACTGTGGTGAAGCGCCAGTTTTGTTGTTAAGCGGCTTCAAAATTGGATCATGCTGTTGGAAATCCGTCAGATAGAGTTTGCGATTTCCTGAGATGACCTCCAAGTTTTCAGTGCTCACGACATCTTTAGGGTACTGTGGTGTTACAAAATCAGCCGACAGGGCAACAGCACCGAGAGATGAACAAAGATGAAGCACTTAGATGCTGGACATTCATAACCACAACAGTCCGAGAACATACGTAAAACTCTCACATTGCTTTCGCGTGTCATTTCATTCATGCCCCATATTATGCATCGCAGATCTGCGTTAAATACCCATGCGTTACTCACCAAGCTTCATTTTGAGCACGACCTTGCTGATTACTGTAAATAGGAAATAGAAATCAGAAGATATGACTGTGATTATACATCGAACTTCCAACATCTTATATAGATGGTTGCCCTATATCAAATGCCGTGCAACTTACGGTCCACTGTTTCATCGGTTCCTACAAAACGTGGAAGGATGAGAGCGGGATTGCGGCGCATCAATGATACCTGACAGGTGTATGATACTTTTCATTCATTTATCGTTCTGTTTGGTATCCTAAAGCAACGTGATGTGCGCCCAACATTGCAAACGATGTTTGATGCCACCTCCTATCGGCTACTTGCAACATTGAGGAAACCTGCATTTCCTTTGTTCCAACAGAAGACGGTCATGATATATTGTGTCAAACATTCGTGTTTTAGGTTGCCAGATTAAACTAGGGGTATGGTTGAGTTTACAATTCCTGCCTTAGCAGTTAATGGAGATTATGAAGTGTTTTCCAAAACGAACGACATGTTTATCTTTGAGCTGGTTGACGTGGTTTCACTAAGACTGGGTAATGGCCGTTGCACATCGACGTGTTTTCTCTCGTTTCCCGTTGGTAACCCAACCAATGCACATGGCGCACTCATCCACCTGATTGCATGGTATCTAAATTTGATTAACATGAACAGGTCGTTAGTTGGCGTATACCTGCAACATGGTAATGATTAGTCAGCAGTTTGGAAAGAATTCAGTGTAAGTTGATATAATCATATTGCTCGGCGACGCATTACTGATGCAATATTGTTGTACAATTCTAAGGCATTGAATTCTATCTGAGAATATCGTTGATCATCCTTCTTAGCATTCCGTATTTACTGTAAGCTGATATTTTGCTGCCCATCAGTAATTCTGGTTTTCGTGTTAATGGTAACAGAGAACAAGAAGAACCGCTGCCAAACCGCTGCCGGTTTAGGGCTATGCAGCGAAAACGGCAAGCCCTGCAGCAACAAGGCAATCTAGGTTTTGTGGAATTTAATAGTTATATCTGAAATTCTTTTCAGAATCCACGTGACCGTCATCAAGGTGGTGCACCATAATTGGGCAATTGGGAGACCCAGCTTCACGTGCGTAAAACCCCATCCGGATGTGCTTGTGAATCCTTTGTTATAGGCGCATCGGATTAAGACCAATATATGATGCACCACAGGAGCACGATTATTGACAAGCCAGAATTGATTCAAACAAACTTAAACTGTGCTTTAATTCGGACGCTAGACAACTTCTATTTTGGAACATATTTATGTCACGCAGTTGCTTGCCTTCTTCAATCTGCTAACTCGCACGCGTTCAGATGTGAAATGTGCGTTGGCCAGCAGCATGCTTGCGATGGGAGTGAACCCATTACAGTGAATCGAAAACTGGCCACGGATCGGCCAACATTCTTGTGAGTTAGTCAACTTTTGTTTAACTAAATCAAAGCAGGAACACCGTTGAAGTACCAGCTCCTCTATTTGTGGAGTTGAGGTTAAAACTATATCAAGGGGTTTGGCTTTCCAACGATGATGTTATTTTTGCTGAGCAAAGGATTGTCCCTGAAAGACTTAAGTTCTGATTTCCGAAAACAAGGGCACTAGCATTCCTTGCAAATAGACCTATCTAAACATCACTATTTCTAGCACTGTAAAATTCGATCGATTTACAAAATATTGCTGTTGTCAACAAGCACCCTCCATCTGCTACTTTGAACATCTGCGTTTTCTTACCTTAACCAAAACTTGCATACTTCATTTAGACAAGACGGTAGTTTAACTTTTATCTCCATAAATCAGCTGATTTGGTGTTTCGCATTTAGGAATCATGTGCTGTTTCAGACACAATATCCTAGGCAGAGAACTAGCCAACAAAATCCGCATTAATAGATCATAGATGCCTATACTACTTTCTCTTTGACTTTTGGCTTAGAAGTCGTGTGATAATGTATACTGTCGACACGACGCGAGTCGGTAACGATGCGTGAGTGAGAATACCAAATACAGGAGCTTGACCTTCGAATCAGGAAGAACTAAGGGTCCTCAAACAAGTAATTTTAGTCCACCGAATGAAAATCCGAGACGGGATTTACAGACCACGTAGGCCGAGGTCACATGTGAGTTTCGATCAACACTTTCGACAGAACAGAAACAGTCTTTGGATTAGCCAATAGATAAGACCCACTGACGTCTGCCCGAACCGTAGATGTAACCTCTCCGGTTTAATGCATTGATGAATGACCACCACAAAGATATGAATCACAATAGCTGCGACCATGGGAAAATCCCTACTAATCTAAATGATTGCAATGTCCACGAGTAGCTTTTTACCAGATACATAAATACTTCCCCAACTTGGTGATTCATTCCTCGTGTCCGTCTCTACTGGAACGGGGAGTTTGCGTGAGAAGAGGTCAAGTGACACCGAGGCGAATTCATAAAACCCCTTAGAGGAATGACGCTGGGCTATTTTTCAACACACCACGCGACAAATATGCGTAGAGCACAACTTTGTAACCGAGAAACGAGTTCAGGTGGAATACAGTCGCGCATGCTGAAGACACTAAAATTATCAGAATCCTCGCTAATTAATACATCTAATTTTTTGGCAAACCGGGAGGTGAAACTGATTCCACGCCTTGGATCTATGCGATTTACTACCATCTATACGGGAAAGCATGCTATGTAGCGGATAACTATTTAAATGTTTTATTTGTTGCGCACAAAATTATTATTATTATGAACTTCAATGCGATGAAAAGTATTTAATAATGAACTATTATTTGTGAACGCGTGCTCAATTTTCCGTGCTATCTCGATTCCTGAACGCTTATTCATTCTATTTTGTGCCGGGACGTGTCATTCGTCAAAATGTCATGGAAAAATCACACATCACCATTTGGTCCACAGAAGCAAAATCGACAGAACAGCGAATTTGCAAACGTAATTAGGGAGCACCGAGATTGCATTTTAGGTGAGGAGGTGCATTCCAAATGGAACAACACGAGAGGCGATATGAAGATACAGCTGCACTCACCGAGTTTCAGTAAAGTCAATAATTTTCCCAGCCCTGTGAAGGAAAGTGTAACGGGTTACAACCCATTCAGTGCGGTTACATAATGAAGCAGAATTTTATTGGCTAATGGGTTTTCATTTTTAGATAAATGGATTTACTCACATATACCAGAGTTAGGGATATCTGGAAGAATTACAAATTCGGTGATTGGTAAACTGTGTATGATAATCAGAAATAGATTAAACAAGGAATCGATGCATTTCGACAACCGGTTATCACTTAAACTGCATTTGAACGTCCAGATAATCTGACTGCATTCCAGTTTACAAAATACACTAGAGAAATCAAGTGACCGAGTTACATTGAGGCCATCACAAGAAACTGTATGCATCACTAACCGAGTTTCAATTGGATTAGAATCGTGCCGATAACTGAAATTCACAACAGAGTAGTTGATGAAAGATGTACGAGCATAGGTGGTCTTGCAATTTTAAGAGCTTATCTATGCAGGGTCACATCTACGAGCACTAGAGTTTAGACTGACGGACTTACATTCTGCTCGCGCACTCCCATCTGCAACGTTCATGTACGAAACAAGATTGCGTGAAAAAGTGTAGGCTTCATATATGTTGAAAACACACCCGGAGCAGTTGGTAGGCTATGCTTTCTAAATTTCCCGCCTTCTCATTTTTACAAATTGTATTGGATAACCTTATCCTTAATCATACTCAATAACGTGTTGCTCGCAAATAGCCTCTCCAATTTGCCAGAATAGATATTTCTATGAAGTTTCATTCTTTCCACTATTGTATCCGCTGAAATAATATTGGAAAGCATTCCGCCTCGAATACTTTTGAAATCGACGTCAGTTTAGTTTCCATCATCAATCAGTGAATTGTGCTACCAATAAGTGAATGCATAGCAAACATCCAAAACAGAATAGAGCATGTTCCATTTATATATATTCGCCAACAATTTTAACAGCAACCGTTACTCACCAAGCTTATTCGTTTGGATTAGCTTGAAGATCACTGGTAAAGCAAAATCATTAATAGTAGAGCATGATTAAATATGGAAGATTAGGCAGCGTTAAACTAAGTTATCGGAAGTAGAAGCAGGAAGTTCGGCTCACGGTTTGACATTGAGGTTGCATCTAGAACATGTAAATTTCAAACAAAATCCATATAAGAGAATAATCCCAATGACAATATGAATTGGAAATGCGGTTAAATGCAATAAAGTTTGCGATCGAAATTGTATATATTAACACGGAAGTGTATATGCAAAGAACGCAGGTAACGCGGTTATAAAACACGGAGAACGAGAACCGAATATATCTGTGCCCTGTTTAAAGTGGCACATTGAGGTTACTGCGGAAAATAATGGAAAATCCCGCAAAATATCAATCCCTAAGCACACCGCTATTGAGTTCACAAATGCCGGTCAGGCGGATGTAAAAATTATTTAATGTTGAACAGGAAGATTTCAGGCGTATTTTATTGAAACATGGAATTAGAATCCTGAAGATGATACACTATATATGGTAACTATTTTTGTTCAACTGAGATAACCTCGTCTGATAATGGATGTGATATATTTTAAATAGCCCGCATCACAAGTGCACTTAAGTTCATCCACGTTGTTTCAATCATCGACCGTCTGCTTGAGCACCGGCACAAATGTGTGGTAACGAGCCTAAAAAGATACCTCACCCAATATGTTTCTAGCGTCAAGTAGCAAAATCTTGGAACTGTTTGTCCGAGACAATAGTTGATGCAAACATAATATCAACGTTCAAGAAAAGTTCCAGACTATTTTCGGATTACAGCTTTCAAGATGGCATCGAACTTGAATAGTTGAACGTTGCATAGCCGTACTGGGTTTAAACGGGCGGTAATAGATTGAATTATTTCGCTTGCTTGCCTCATAATATGTTGACACAGAAACATATGTATATATTTTACCAAACTTATTTTGTTGCCCTGCCTTAATAACAATATCAGTTGCGGGCAAGTTTGAGAAAACTGGCACTGACGATTTTCTGCCCAATGACTTAGCACTCCCGCTTAGAAGAATCAGGACCTTTTGAATGCAATACGAATTGACGCAGCATTAAGAGTGATGTCGTACAAAATTAGTTTACTGGCAGTCGTATGCATTATGCCTATATTTGAGCTTGAAAGGAGACCTAGACACAAGTACGGAATATTACGTGCTTTTGTCAAAGTATAGCTCACCATAATTCAGTTTGACTGCAAGTTTCACGATAACTGCAGACAAATTTGCAATGCGTTAATAGTGGAATGGTGGGCATTTAAGAAATGTTTATTAACAATCGACTTCGCAAGGGCGCGTCATGATCTCGAAAAATATCTAGACTTACTGTCTGCGATCTGCGATGCGCCTATAATTTGCGTGTGCGAAGGAATAAGAATGCTTAAAAGGAGCGTACATTGTGAGAATTTGGATATATTTTGCGAAAGTCCAAAACACATATTTATATAGCCAAGCATCCTAAATAATCTCATCCACCTACGTTTTTTTACCTCCTATACTATTAGCTGATGATGTCATACAACCGACCAAACTGCAGGTTCGCTAAATTGGGACGTGCAGATAATAGTATTTATTCTGTTCCGCTACACACGTATCTAATTTGTGCTCTCTACTTCGAATCCCAAAAGCCGCACATTGATTTCTTTTTCAAAATTAAGTGGACCTGTCGTTCATCTATTTGGCGATAGTTTCACTTTCAGCCCCTTTTACTAATTACTTCCAAGTAATTTATTCCCACATGCCTTGTGACTGCTTTGAATTAAACACTTTACTTACCGATTTTCAGATCGACAATCACCCTGTAAATCACTGACAACAAATGATAACAAAATGTGATGCCAATTATCTTGTATAATTAGAAAAATACTGCGCTTTCAGTTTTAACCAATAATTAAGGTATGGTCTTCATTTTCACTCACGTTCCGTTTGCTCAGTTTTCTCTATAACATGTGTATATAGTGTATGTATAGTGTATGTAGTACGCTTCGTAATGTACACACCTTAATTTATATGGTGAATTATATTTTTAAACATTGTACGTCATGTTTACACCCACATTCTTGCTTTTTCTATTTTTGTGTATTAGCGTGCAATTTAATAACATTTCGCAAACGTTATTGCAATATTTTTAAAAAATACTAGTCTGTCGATACCATGAATTCTGGGTTTTAGAAATTACGTCTGATTATAGCTGATGGGTTTGAGTAAAAGTGTTATGTTAATGGGCTATGCTAAGAGCTTGACGTTTCTTTACGTGCTCATTGCTTCAAACTACCAATCGCTTCTTATCTGCAACCTAAGAACAAAGACCAGTTAACAAATGTTTATGTGAGTAGTATGTAAGTCAGTATATATAACGTTTACTTAAATTCAACAATAATATATCGATCAAAAGGTATATATTACTCACCAAGTTTTAATGTCAACACAACCAGGCGAAGCACTGAAAATAAGTGTACCGAATATAACTGTGTCCAAAACCAACTCTACTGCCAGAGTTTAATACATTTAATTCCAGCACCTAGATTAACTCACGTTCTGCCGTATCCGATTCATCTGGTTTATGGTTAATAGAAACAGGAGTGTTTGAATGTCATGTGTTATTGAACTGTCATTGCAATTGATTTAAAGATTGCTCGAAGTTCTGAAGCACTCTCTTGCCAAACCTTGTATGAATAGCAACATGCCCACAAGTCGGAATTCCCTTTGGCTGCGGTGACGCACATGCTAGCTTTGTGAAACCCTAGTTTCCAGCATTTAGGACGCTATGTAGCAGTTGTTATCCTCGGCTTTACTAGCGAACCTCTAGCAAACTCCATGACAGAGTCATAGATAAATATTGATGGCTGAGTTTGCTGCGCAAATGTTGATTGTTTATGTCCACCAGACATGATGTGTTATTTCCTATCAGAATAATTAACAGCTGCATGGATTGCAGTTTTAGAGGACTTTTGCTTCAATTGTAACGCTTGCCTTCCAGTTTGGCGACAGCCTTCGAATCGCCTGTGAAACCTTTAAAATAGAATGCAGAATATGTGGCAATCTACAAAGTCAAACCTAAAGTGTTACTACTCTAAACGCAACAGATGAATCAGAGCACCTTACTTCTCTGTTGGATCGTAGTCTGCGTACATACATGAACTTTACGAACAGAATCAGTGTCTAATTTAGAGGATACATGATCCGGTATGAATTGATCGATAGTTGGCGGGGCCTTAAAATTGGCAGTTGCTTTGCTCATTGGAGATTCATTTTACTCTGGTTACTGCGGATTTATCCAATTCATAAATCCACATTTACTATTTTGTTTTTCTTAATTATTCCTTGACAATGATGTTGTCCTATTGCAAGAAAATTTTGAAATCACTCCGCAATAATGTTCCTCATCAGCGTTGTATTCAATATGCTCACAAAGTATGCAGCACTTGTAAACGAATTATGCAGAAATGTTCTTGTAAATTGAGAAAACACCGTGCTGACTTGGTAGCCTCATATGTCGCTCCGTTGAACAGGCATGAATTCCACTGATCTTGACCAGCAATAGTCGATCACTCCTTGGGAAAATGACGAATAATAGCGCTTTTATAGTGCAAACTGAAGATTCACTTGCAGCCATTTTAATGCTTCAAGAAAGCCGATTACATGCTTAGATGGAAGATAATGTTATTCAACTTGCTGGTTATCTTCCCCTCAGACCCGACCGCCCCGGATTGCCTCAAGATCGTGGGGCGGTGTCATCTTCTGCATCCATCAAAGCTGGTGTAACTCGTCATCCATGTTTTTTTTACCTACATAATGGTTGCAGTCAGTTGTCATTTGCTTAAATGTAAGCCAAAGTTTTTCAGTGGTTCGCTTTCTTTTATTATTGGGAATGTATACCTACCCCCGATACACAAGTCTCAGAGCTGTAACATTTTGCGTATGATCTACCCTTGGTGTTACTACCTAAACTTGACGGCGCATTCTGTGTCATCGCAGGGGATTTCAATAAAGTTGATGCCTCATTTATCCAAGCAGTTGATTTGGCTTTTCCGACCAGACACGAACCGCAACTAGATTTCTTTTACACAAACCATGCTTGTCTGTTTTCCGAACAGTAACGTGTCCTACCCGGTAATTCCGATCATTATACCATTAAAGTTTGCCCAGTCGTTTATGGGAAAACTCATTTTGGTTCATTGGCTTATAAGCCATTCAAAACTGGAAAACGACGAGATTGTTTTTCTCAAATATTTCTAGTCTTCAGGAAATGCGGACTGCTACTGATCTTACAGTTTACCCCAACGAAGATCTGTCTGTTCAGGGTGATCATTTTACTGAGTAGCTGAACATTTCCTTTGATCTTTGCTCCCCCATCGAAATCATCTACTTACGAGTTGATAGGTTCGACTCACCATCACTCAAACAGCTTACAAGAAAAAATGAATGTGTCTATAAATAAAAAATGACTGCCCGTGTTAAACAACTTACTCTAGAAATCAAAATTGAGAGTTCTCGACTGAATAATGTATACATCCAAGCCGTTTTGTG